CCCTGCAAGTCCCTCTTAGTCCATCACAAGTCCCTGCAAGTCCATCACAAGTTCCTGCAAGTCCCTCTAAGTCCATCACAAGTTCCTGCAAGACCCTTTAAGTCCATCACAAGTCCCTGCAAGTTCCTCTAAGTCCATCACAAGTCCCTGCAAGTCCCTCCTAGTCCATCACAAGTCCCTGCAAGTCCCTCTAAGTCCATCACAAGTCCCTACAAGTCCCTCTAAGTTCATCAGAAGTCCCTCTAAGTCCATCACAAGTCTTTCAGTCTTAACCACTGCGCCAGGGCATTTATGAATGTTGATGATGCTGGGACGGGATAATTTTCACTTTTTCTGTTTTCAAAATTCTTTAAAAATTCATATCTTCATTTCTTGGACACTTACACCCACACGAAGGACTGTCTGGTTTCTACTCTAATCTGATACACAACATCTAATGATGCTGCAGTATCTCAGCTAGGCCTGCTGCCTTGTAAAAAGAGCCCAGATTGTGCAGTGTTATGTAATTTTCTTTTCGCTGCGGTGGTGGAGTCCTTTTGTCTCTGGTGGTAATCCACTTGTGCTAAATGCCCCAAACCATGGTCTATTGTTTCAAAACAAGGCTGGATTATCTCCACTGTTGAGAGTGAAAAAATGTTGGAAATGCCCAGCAGCCTGATTTTTTATTACGTGTTGGGTCTTTTGTTACAAGGCCCAGTTCCCTTTGTCGAATTTTGGAGACCGCAGCCACGCGTATAAAGAATACGCATCCGGTACCGGCAACAAGTGGTTAAGCCAATTCATACGCTATTCAAATGAACTGTGACTAAAAGCATTCCTTTGTCATTGTTCACCCTGTTACTTATGACTGGCCTTGTAAAGGGACTTACGACTGGCCTTGTGAAAGGACTTGTGATGGACTCGAATGCCACACTGTGTGCAAACCTGTAGCCGTTAGTTCCATTAGTGCACAAATTGCTCATTTACAAGGGAGTACTTTTTCCACGGAGTGGGCAGGTCATAAAATGTTGCCCCAGACCCCTCTGTTTTGATCCAGTCACTGCTAATGAATTGGCCAACAGCACACAGGTAAAAGAGGTGCTTCTTTCAGTGCATATGAAATGAATGTTGCCCTCGTGATGAAAGGCGTATTACTTTAACCTGTACCTGAACCCATCATTGAGACACCGTTTCTGTAGTGTTGTTGAACTTAAAGGGGCCAGTGTTACTGCATCTGCACTAAAGTTGAGTTCGGCTGTACTTTGTTGTGTTTTTTCACTGCGGGAGGGGGGCTTGCATCAGAAACTCAAAGCCTGTTATAAATTTTTTTTTTGTGGAGATGGTCAAGCTACCAAGCGAACATGGGGTGGAAGCTGTGCGGTTGTCTTCTCAACTCTGTCCCCTTTGATGCCGAATGGAAAATGAAACTTGGTACTAACCACTTGCTGCCGGGTGGATTTTTCTTGAGCAAGGCAAGATGCCGGGTCCTTTTCAAGATTTTCCATTTTCAAAATTCTTCAAAAATTCATCATTTCATTTAATGGCCGTTTATACCAAAATGAAGGACTCTTTGAGCACTACTCTAAAGCTGACAGGTAAAATTCATTGATTCCTGAATATTTCAGCCAGGCCTGCAGCCTTTGAAAAAGAGCCTAGATTGTGCGGTGTTGCATAAGATTCTTTTGTTCCCGAAACCGGCACAGTGCAGTGCTGACCTCTTTTCAATAGGGGCCAGATTAGCGTGCAGCGGTGCTGTGGGGCTCATCGCTGCAGTGTTGGAGAGCTTTTGTCCCTGGTGGTAATCCGCTTGCTCTAAATGCCTCAAACCGTGGTATACTGTTTCAAAACAAGGCTGGATTATCTCCACTATTGAGAGTGAAAAAATGTTGGTAATGCCCAGCAGCTCAGTCTTTTGTGCTGAGCATGGTCTTTTGTTATAAGGCCCAACTCTTTTGTCCCAGTTCCAGGCTCCCCCGCTCTGCATATAAAGCCTATGTACTCAAAACGGGTCGCCCGGCAGGGAGTGGTTAAATAGTTGGCAATCTAAAATCTGTATTTGGACTTTGTGCGTTATTCCTGATGCACTGTACATGTACGTTTGATCCAGGGCCCTGTGGTGACAGACAATGGGAATTTCATCCTTGACTGGAAGTTCAAGGTGGTCCCTGAGAGCTGGGAGGCTGTCAATCAGCAAATCAAGATGATCCCCGGTATGGCTGTGTGTTTTTCGACCACCCAACCTCGTATGTTTCCTTTTCAGTAATCATTGCCATCTTCTGAAAGGTTGCAATAGCAGCGGCGTGGCAGAAATGGAACTTCGGATCTGCGCTGCAGCTCTTTTCCCAAAGCCCAGTCTGATCGGTTCGATTCAGTTCGGCATCTGCCTGAACAGTTTACTACACAGCCCCAAAGCCACAGCTAGAGATGTAGCTAAGGTTTGGGAGACTGTCGCATGCTTGTTGACTTTGTGCATTATTAGTAGAGGGCGCTGTTTAACCCATTCGGGCAGCCAATTGTGAGCATTTCTTGAAGCGAAAGCCGAGCCGTGTGCATAGGGTCAAGGTTTGCCATGCTCAAAAGTGTAACAACCCAGCATCAGTTTAAGGGAAAGTTAAGTTTTTGTTCCAAAATAGACATTGTTTATTGGATTGAAAAACTGTTTTTGACTGTGCTTTTTAAATTTGAAATTAAGAAGAAGTGGAATTCAAAGAATCATTTTCCCGTTCCACTTGGGGTCCATGGGGGGTTGAGGACTACCCATTTATCTTCAAAGGCACTTGATCACTTTGTCGTCGAGAAGCATCATGTTTATCAGCTTGCTTTTAATTTCCGACTAGGTGTGGTTGAAACTGGTCTGTTCCTCAAGATGACAAGGCAAGTGTACTTTGGCATGGAGGACGGCAGCACACAGTGCGTACCTGGCGAGTGATCAGCGCTACACCGGGAGTCTGCCGCGAACCAGTAAAAATTTTCTTGTTTTCCATGGTGTTGATGCAGCGCAGTGCTCTCTGTTGTGTGGTTGTGTACATCATGCCTGTGACAGTAGGGACAGATGTATACCTCAACCTGCCCTGTGGAGGCTCACAGAGGGGAAAAGTAATACAGATTGACGGTGGTTGGAAACCCCGATTCTGTACAGTTTTGGCCAGGGTTCCCACAGAAACTGAAAACCAAATTCTATGACTTTTCCAGGACTCTCTAAGACAAGAGGTGTGACAGTTTTCATGATATTCCATGCTAATTTGTTGAGAAAAGTTGTTCCGTATTGTGAACTGGAAAACTGCCATCGTCACTAAAAGGACAGCCTACAAATTTACCATTTTCCGTTATCCTACCAAAAGCAGCCCATTAAACTCTTTCCAGGACACCCTCTTTTCTCCCCCAAGTTTCCATGATTTGCAAGGGCAACCTTTTCCTAGGATTTGCCATGACCACGGGAAGCCTGTTCCAAGGAGGGCTAACTGTGTGGGTGTGGAAGTTCAAAAACAAGGTGTTGAAGGTTTCAGGCAAGTTCCTAGGAAGAGTCCACTAGGAGTCAGGGTTACTATTTTGAAACGAGTCAGGTTCCAAATAATGTGTCTCCAAGAGGCACATCTTTGACATGCTTTTACTTTTTATTTGTACAATTTTACAATGCACTTACAGTATATCTCTTCATGGCACAAATACTTGACCGTTAAACAGGTAAAAATCAAGTGTTAAGAGATTACACACATACACGAAGTTACTGCTGTTACAGACATGAATCTTTGTTGCAATGAGAACCTTCCAAAACTGATAAATATTAGCAAGAAACCAAGAAATCCTTAAAATCAGTCAGTTAGTGATATTAGTGTATACTGCTAGAGTTTTTTCTAAACACTAAAATTTGGACCAGCTCGAACTGCAAATGCCTTTTTTTCTCTGATGTAGGAAATTCTAGTTTTGCCGGTCATTGCCAGTAGAGTGGGGGATGTATAAAAACCCTTGACGACAAACTGTTGGTGTTTGTTTCTCGGATTAAGTATCTACGAAAATGTTAACAATGGTGCTCAGGAATTATTATTTTTTTTTTAAAAGACCTGTTATGAACTTGATTCATAACTTGTTGCCTAGTTGCAGTGTTCCCTTCACAGTCATCATATGATGTATTTTATTTTTCGGCCAGCCCTACGGAATAACTTGTTGAAATACAATCTCCTACATCGGTGGTTTTCATTATTACCTTGAAACCTTATCTCCCAGAAGTTTGTGACCGTAGTTATGAAGAAACAGCGGTGACTGGTTTAAAACAAATCTTGCTCAAGCATGCAGTTAAAAAAAAACAGGCAAATTAACACTGTCATGTTTATCCGGTGGTCATAGGATGTCACAAATTGAATTGTAGCCCAGCGCCCTCGGGCTATAGTTAGCCAGAACAATGGTGCCTTGGTCTTGGAACACAGACCGGTGTGTGTTTCCACAGGGCTGCACTTCCCAAGTATATATTATTTTATATCCTATTTTTAGATTGGACTGTACAGTAAATAACAGAGAGGCATAACTTGACTTCAGGATCTACCTGCTCATCTCAAATGTTGAGAGCTTCTTCCTCGAGAAACGTATTCACACTCCCACCTTTTCCTTGAGAGATAGCCTTTACTATAATACAAGAAATATAGAATAACTGCAACAGTAAAGAGCATTTACATTAAAATACATTTGAAATTCTTACATGTACATAGTAATTAAATATCTTTTAAAGACAGATGCTTCTGAAGAAAAATGCAAAGGCAGAGTGATAGACGATTGAATACATTCTGCAGTGAGGCTCAAGAGAAAGCGATGCATTACAAGGTGTTCCTGGTGTCAGTAGTGAGCAACGTTTCTAAGAAAACATTTGCCAAACAAAACTTAAATCTGTGTGTCTTGTAATATTCCGGGCTTTATGTCCATGTCCTATACCCTTCCTTCATTGCAAATTTCAGCAAAACTAGCAAGGCAAAAATGGAGAATTTCAGGCATTTTGTTTGTTTTTTAAATGGGCTGTTCCCTGACAAGGGACTCCGCAAAATTAAATTTAAAAGTGCGTTGTTTTTAAGAGGCAGTTTCTAAAAACATTTCATCACACTGCTTGTGATGAAACTGAACTCTGAATTATCAGTTTTTACAAGTTACTGTCACCAGTCAAACATTAACCACTTCCCGACGAGGCATTTATGCATGTTGGTGATGTGATGCTGGGACGGGATAATTTTCCTTTTTTTCGGTTTTCAAAATTCTGTAAAAATTCATATCTTCATTTACTGGACACTTACACCCACAAGAAGGACTGTCTGGTTTCCACTCTAATCTGACAGACAACATCTATTGATGCTGGAGTATTTCAGCCAGGCCTGCAGCCTTGTAAAAAGAACCCAGATTGTGCAGTGTTATGTAATTTTCTTTTGTTCACAAACCTGGCACAGTGCGCTGCTGACCTCTTTTCAATAGGGGCCAGATTAGCATGCAGCGGTGCTGTGTGGCTCATCGCTGCGGTGGTGGAGCGCTTTTGTCCCCGGTGTTAATCCGCTCGCACTGAATGCACCAAACCATGGTATACTGTTTCAAAACAAGGCTAGATTTATCTCCACTATTGAGAGTTTAAAAAATGTCAGTAATGCCCAGCTGCCTGGTCTTTTGTTACGAGTACGGTCTTTTGTTACAAGGCCCAGTTCTCTTTGTCCGATTTCGGAGACCCCGGCGTATAAAGAATACCTGTCCGGGTACCGGAAACCCCAGCAGCAAGTGGTTAATGTTCTCCATTTCTACAGCTGAGCGTAAAAGTTCAGTCCACTCTAAAATGACCCAGAAACACGTCTCAAATTGAGCATTAAACATCTCTTATAATGTAAACCTATTACCCCTAACAGCAGTTTTAATAATATATAAGACAACCGCAACACAACACTACTTTACATATGTACAATAGTTCCGTAACATTCCTCAACAATGCAACTTTGGAGAAGTATTTAGAATACAATATGGTGCACGACAACGACAACTAAATATCAAATATAGACAGGGTTTTTCTTTCTCTCTTACGCACTAAATCTCTGTACAGAAGTCTACTGTGGTGTCCAATAGTCAGGAGGGTGGTCTACCGCACGGTGTCAAAGAGTAGCTCCTTGAAGTCATTGTAAGGTGGCAGAACTGGAGGAGGAAAAGAAAATGTTAGGCGAATGTCAAGTCGGCAAATTGAAGGGGAGTACATGTTGGACACGATTGCTCAATGAGGTTTAAGGTCTGGCCGTTGATCCTGTACACAGTCTCTAAGGGACGGCGACCATTTAGACCCGGTTTGAAAAGGGCCCCCCCCCCCCCGGTATTCAGGCTGCTCCAGGCCGGTATCAGGCCTGTCTGCTCATTGGCATTTCAAAGTCCCTGATGAAAGGCTTCCCCCACC